AGTTTTTTTCCTTTGTATTCACAACATAAACACTGTATTTGTGTTAAAATGTTATGTTTGCAATAGCATAACAGGATGCCTCTTTGATGAATGATGGGAACATGCAGATTTTTTTATAATGCCAAATACATATGTATTTATAACAAAAATTAAACTTTTAACAGTGCACAAATAGTTTTCAACCCCCAAATATGCATATGCAAAAATTGTAAGATTTTTTTTTTCTTTCTGAAAAGTAAAGGGACACCACTGCAAAAACAGAATGTTCATATGTATTTATTTATTTATTGTTTCAACTGACATAGTTAATATTTATTATTTTCTTTTCATTTAATACATTTAACACATAACATTGTTCTTATATGCAAATTCCTTATTTCTTTGTGCTTTTTATGTAAACGTAGTTTTACTGTGTTTCGCAAAACTTATATTCTGATTAGTTAAATATTAAATAATTGTAAAAAAAAAAGACATTTAAAACTTTAGCAAGTAATCATTAGATAGCAATAAAAAACATAAAAACAAAATACATTATATTTTATTATTAACTTATTGTTCTGAGTGGTATATAGATTTATATTTATGCAAAGATATTTGCAACTGATATTGTTTTCTGATATTATTTTAAGTTTTTTTTTAAATATTTAAATATTATTTAATTATTTTCAAAAATGTATGGCATATACTGTACCATATTAGTATGTATGCAAAGTTGTTTTGCAATCTAGATGGTTGCAATTATATTTTCTGTTTTTGTACGGTGGAATATCTTTCCAAAATAATCAAGTAGAATTGAAGCACAAAAGCACCAGACAGGCTCTGGTTACTAGAAATACTCAATTTCACAGAGTATTTCTCTCACAGACAGACAGACAGCCAGCGGTGTGTGTTTGTGGGTGTTTCTGTCATGCTGCTCATACACCCCCTGCTCTTTTTATAAAGGCGATTTGATTTTATAGGCCTTGGCCCGACTCCTAGACCACAATTATAGCCGAGGCCCGGCTGACAGTGTCCTGGGACAGGTCTGCCTTTTATTTAGCCTCTGTGTCTCCTGCGGGTCTGTGTTTAATTCTGGCCAGAAAGAGGGAAGTACAAATTGAGGGGAAGGAACATTGTAAACGCGAGCGAGCGAGAGAGAGCAGTTTATCTGTCGTATCTGCAGGCTGTGGGCAGGTCGAGGCTCGTCTCTGTGTAAATTCTTCCTGGGTCGAGAATAGTACACACAGACACATGAGCATGAAAGACGGGGTGTTTAACACTGGCACATGCTCATTAGACCAATAGATAGACCAATAATTATCTTGTCAAAGTTATAACGTTATTAATATATTATTTATACGCTTGTCTAACGTTTTTAAATGTTACTACTTGTTTAAAGGAACATTCAAAAGTAACTTTCTCATGATGTTTGCAAAGTGATAAAACGGAATGCTAGCTTTAATGTTTGCATAACTAAGCAACAACGTTTTTTAAAATGTTAAAAAATCTGGATGTTTTGAAAGTTCAGAGAACATTCAGAAATAATGTTTTCAGAACTTAATGGGAGCAAAACCTTCTCAGGCCCCGATCACACAGAACGCATTTTGCAAGTTTAAAAACGTGAGGCGTCAGGGGCGCATAAACAATAGAAACAATTTAAAAAAGGTGCCTCTCACTGCAAAAAAAACAAAAAACAAAAACGTGTTCCGTGTTTGTTGGATCTTTTAAAGGTTCTCAAAATGTTAGCACTAAAACCTTTATACATCTTTCAAGTAATGTTATTTATTTATTTGTAACACTTCAGTTAGACGTTTGTCTTAAAGTTTTTAAATGTTACTTGTAGAACATCCAAAAGTAGCGTTCCCATAATGTTTGCAAAATGTTAAAAATGGAATGTTCTCTAAATGTTCGCATAACCAAGAAAAAAAACATTTTAAAATTGTTTTATTATTATTATTATTATTAGCTAGGTTATTTCCTCGTACTCTGCATATCTCTGTACATTTGACCACTCGTTACTCATTATCGACAATTAATATTTAGTAATATTATCGATTTAACTGCACTGATGCATTTGAATGAGAACAAAACCTAAATAAATGTGACTTGACTCAAAAAAAAACAAAAAAAAACATGAAACAACTTTTGTTAATAATAATATAATAAACGTAATCTAAACTAAAATAAAAACTTGTGTTATTGCAGTTGGTTGCCAAGGCAACATTTCTTATTTTCATTATATTGATGTACTAAAATAACTGAAACTAAAATGGTAAAAAAAAAATTATAATAATGAAAACTATAGACATATTAATAGACACATATAAAAAAAATAAGAATGACAAAAACACAACAAAATTACTAAAACTTTAACTAAAATTAAAATGAAAACAGAAAATATAAAAATAAAATTCATTCAACTATTATAAAATAAATATTATAAAACTATAATAGTAGGCTATCTATAATACTAAAATAACACAGTCGACTTGTTACCTTATTGCTACTGTATTTTGCTATTATTATGACCTTTTCATTATTTTTCCATTTTTGCTTACTATTTATTTATACTTAATGCCCAGTCAAAGTAGCTGGCCAGGTTTACTGTGTATGTGACAAATACAAATCTTGACTCTTGATTGCGTGATCATAAGTGTATCTGTTTGACAGCTGGCTGAAAAATAAGAAGGAAATTCATTTGACTATTGGATTATGATGACCATGTGCATTGATCAATCGTTCACAGTATTATTTGAGACAATTTTGATTTCGTGTTGGCCTTAAAACAATAGTTCTGAGTCCTTCAATAGCAAATCCATCTTTGTCTCTACTGAAACTGTTCAGAAAAAATTAAAAAAATATGCAAACTAGATTTTAACACTTTCTTAAGGAAACTGGAATGTTGCTTGACTGTACATATGGCTGTGGTTGTAATGGTCTTTATAAGACGAAAGAGTACTATTTTGGACCAGGTGCTATGCTAATTGGACAGCTGCATTAAATACAGTACATAGGAGCATGTGAAGTCCATGTAACAACAGCACTATGGTACCATAATTTTAGGTGATTTGAAACTCTGCAGGATGACGCACCCACTGAAAAGAAATAAAACACAGTACACGTGGTAAAGAAATAAGCAGTTTCTTCACAACAAAATGTTATATTTTCCAAAGAAATGTCGAAAAGGGACAAAAAGGAAAAAATGAAGCTGCATTTCAAAAGGTTTTGCTCATTTCACAATTGTGGAAGTTGAGAACCGTGTCGAGTGTGTGAAGCGATCAAACCACCATTAACCGCCACAGTCATTTACAATCTATTTACACAAAAAATCAGGTCCATGATTCTCCCATCTTCCATCCAGCCGACCATCAAACTGTGACGTGAGAGCATCAATTGGAAAGCTTTAATTCGCAGAGACCATGTTTCGCTGTAAATCTAGCGGAGAGAACGACTGTTAAAGGCAGTGACCGGGTGAAGTCTCGTAAACCTGGAAATGTAAAGAGTCAAAAGTCTGTTGAAGCTCTTAAGAGCATATAAGAGCAGCCAGCAGAGGCTTCGCTTTGTTCACCTCGGCTTCGGGAACGACAATGGAGCGGGAAAGAAACAGCAGGCTGGGGGCTTATTGGGCATTTGTTGACCTATTCACACAATTTGTGAATGGACTACATTTGGATTCTATATTGTAGATCAATTTAAAAGTATTAGATCCCAAACAGACTCTACACAAGTTCAACACAAACTCTTCCAGCAACACAAGCTTCATTTCATGCATGTTTTACATTCAGAAATGTGTCAGAATGCAATGCGATGGCGATTACGCAAATGGACATTAGCGTAAATCATCTTCTTCTACAGTCAACTACAGTTACGGTGAAGTTTGAAGAGAACTGAGCAAAATTAGTGGACATGACTCCATTCAGTTATAATTCTGATCAACTCAGATTGTTTTCTGATATTATTTTTATTAAGTATCTGGTAACTAAACCAATATTTAACGTATTTATACAGTATATAAATATTTTAATGTATGGCATATAGCACTATATTCCTGCAAAGTTATTTTGCATGTTTTTTTTATCATTTACTTGAAATGAATTCTATAGAGATCAACTACTAATTATTTTTATTAAGTGGCTTTTTAGTATTGTCAAAAAGCAGTATTAATTATTAGACTACAATAAAAGTATTCATAATTAATTTTATTTATAGCATATTTGATATTCATTATTTGTATTGTGTCTGATAACTGATGCAATATTTACTTAAATATTCAATTATTGTCAAAAGCAGAAATAAAACAATAAGCAATCATTAGACTGCAATAAAAACAATCAGAACTTAAAATGCATAATGAATATTTATTTAATCGCTTTAAATAATAATTTAAATGTTTAGCATATAGAATTATATTTATTCAAAATGTTATTAATTTGCATGTTTATATCAGCTACCTGAATGGAGTACAAAGTAGTGATCAACTGATATTGTTTTCTGATATTCATTATTTTTATTTACTGCCAGGTGTCAGGCAACTGAAGCAATAACTATTTAAATAATTATTGTCAACAAGCAGAAATAAACAATAAGTAATCGTTAGCGTACAATAAAAAAATCAAAACATAAAATTCATTACTAGTATTTTATTTATTATTATTTTAAATGTATGCATAAATTGTTTTGTGAACTAAGTGGCTGCAAATATATTTTATTTTTGTTAGGTGGACTGTTCTATTCTTTAGCGATATGCATTTATTAACACCCAAATTGTGTTAAATTGCTTACATCATGTCGGCTAAGTGCTCACATCTGCATCTGAGTACTTGCGTAGAGTCTGTTTCTGACCTTAGATGTAACATGGTGAGTTCTGTTTTACATAAAACTGGGTGGAGCTGATGAACAATTCCGCACAGTGATGATGAGACGAACAACAACAATAATAATAACAACAATTATATTAATAATAATAATAATAATAATAATAATAATACAAACACGGTACAGCTGTAAAACAAACAAATGAGTCTCATGCTGTTCTGTGAAAAACACAAATCTGTCCATTGAGTCCAAACAGAAACCACCTCATTCAGTTGCCCTCGTCCTATTGGTCAACGACTGCTTTAAACGTCAATATGGCCTCCAGACGGCTTCCACTGGCATGCTGGTTGGTGAACTGCTGTGGCTTCCCTCTGCCTCCACCACCACCTCGCTCTGATTGGGCAGAGAGGGGTGCAAGAGGGCAGAGCCTGTGGAGGCGTTGGTGCAGGGCGGTAAGATGCGCGGTGGCGAGCGCTCGCCCCCTCCTCCTCCACCCGGCATCATGGAGAACTGGTAAGAGCCGGCGGCACTGCTGTAGTAAAGGTGATATGGGGACGTGCCGGCCTGGAAAGGTCCGGCCTGAGCCTGGGAGGAGCCCGCAGGGTATGCTGGGGGTAAGTATGTGTGGTAGCGGCCTGCCGGGCTGGTCATGGCTGACATGCCAATGCCGATGGCGTTGGTGACAGGGGTGGGTGTGTACGTAAACGCTCCGGTTGGGTACGGAACCCGTGGGTCCGAGAAACGGCCGTCCGGGAGGGAGGGGAGCGATGGGAAGGAACGCTCTAGACCGACACGAGGGTCAGTGAACGCCGTCAGATCTGGACCTAGAGGAACACGAAACATTTGCTTAGTTATATAGTTAAAAATGGGCCAAATGAGTCACTAGTTAAGTACAGACATGTGAAATCAATGTGGAGCAGCTCAGATCATTGGATGAGAAATGTTTTAATTTATACTGCAATCATATTGAGTTTTGATTGTAGACTTTTGAGCTCAGTTTGAGACACTGTTGAGATCTGAAACTCTAGAGGAGATGTGTGTGAGATTTCTGTTGTCTTTTGTCTGTGCAGAAACATCTCCAAAAGTCCTCACATGTTATCTGTTTATTGTAGTTGCTAAATCTTGTTTGCAAAACGGGGCTATTGTTAAATAAAAGTATTAAAAACCTTTTTGTTATATGAAAAATCACACGTTTTTTCATCATATATACACATTTGAATTTCTAAATATTTTATAGATAGATAGATAGAATTTTTTAAAAAGTAGGCGTGCACCATGGTGAAACTCACAGTGTATAGCGCTGGGCCTGGGGGAGATGGGTGTGGTGGAGTGAACCGCTGGGGTGGAGATGGGGCCCAGGTAAGGGTATGACTGCTCGTACGACCAGGATGGAGACGTTTGCATCTGCCTAGAATCTAAAACCAAATATTCATATTCAATAAATGACTTTATGACTGCTCTACTTCACTAGCAAATCCAAGAAATACCCTAAAAATACAGAAATAGTATTAATGGTTAATGAGAACACAGACATAAACACACACCTGCACAAACACACACACACACACACACACACACACGGTTTATGGATTACAGTTTTTCTGTCCAGCTCACTAAACTCACATGCTCACATCTCTTACAAAACAGTGGTACAGTGATGGTATTGGATGATAATATAGTAAATGACTATAATATAGTAAATGCCATATTAATGCACTATGATATTTACACTGGCGTTCAAAGGTGTGTGGTCAGTAGGATTTTTAATGATTTGGAAAGAAAATCTTCTTCTAACCAAGGCTGCATTTAATCAGAAATACAGTAAAAATTGTAAAAAAATATTATTACAATTCAAAATAACTGTTTTCTGTGTGAATATATTGCAAAACATAATTTATTCCTGTGACCAAAACTGAATTTTCAGCATCATTACTCCAGTCTTGAGTGTCACACAATCCTTCAGAAATCATTCTAAAATGCTGATTTGCTGCTCAAGAAAAAAATCTGATTATACAGCATTTATTGGAAATAGTAATCCCTTGTTACTTTATAAATGTATTAACTGTCACAATTTAATGCATCCTTGCTAAAAGTATTAATTTCTTTCAAAAACTTTTCAATGGTAGTGTATGTAAAATCAGTAGAATATTAAAAAAGGATCTTTATTCAAGACAAACACGAGGACACTGAATAAAGAAGAGCAGGAGGAGGAGAAGACATTCTCTGAGTATGAGTCTCTCTTTCTCTCTCTCTCTCTCTGATTTTTTACTTTTCTAATTTTTTATACCTGTACAATTTGTCTTGATTTTATATATATATATATATATATATATATATATACACACATACATATATAAACTGATTAATGTTTTCTGGTGATTAAAGAGATGTTTAAAAGTAAAAAAAAACTCTCTCTCTCTCGCTCTCTCTCCCCATGGTCTAATAAACGCTCGCCGATCGCCTGCAGAGTTCCAGACTGAAGGGGAGGGAGAGCCATCAGAGAGGAAGCAAATTATGCACAGCGGCCAAAAAGTGTGCGGCCCGTTTCAAGTGCAGCCAGAGTGTGGCCCGCTGCCAGGCCCTCCAGAAACCCCCTTTTTTCCTGCCTCCCTCCCCAGACTCAGGGCTTGTGATCTGGAGCAGGAGTCACACATGGCTGGGTGGGTGGCTGGAGGTGAATTCGGGCATCCGGTGCGAGTGGGACTCATTTTTTACTGGGCTTTAACACACACCCACACACACGGCTACCAAAAATGGAGATGGGAGAAATACTCACTGAATATAAGGTACTTACAAATCAGTGTGTTTGTTGTTAACTAATACTAAGACGTATAAATTAAAAATAAAGTAATTGAAATGAAGCTTAAAATAAAACTTAAATAATGCAAAAATAAAATATTAGATAAAAATGAGATACAATTCAAAATAGAAATGTCTTGGCAACTGAAATAGAATAAGTTGAAGTTGAAGTACTAAAATGGCTAAAAGTACAACCGAAATAAATATAAAGTTAAATAGAAATATATAAAAGCTTAATAAATATAAAATTGATCAAAATAAAACATAGAATTGCTCAAATTAAAATGAAAACTGAAAATATACAAATACAATTATATCATAATATCAATAAAGCTGAAATAAAATAAAATACAATAAAAATATTAGACTTCAGCTTAAAAAAAATTTAAATACTGCCTTGGCAACAAACTCAAATAAAATAAATTGAAGTTGAAGTATTAAAATGACTAAAACTAAATTAAAGTAGAAATATTTGTAAAAAATATATAAAAATGGACATGTACAAATGACAAAAGTACATACAATTACTAGAACAAACTAAAATTAAAATTAAAACTGAAAATATAAAAATAAAATCTACATCAAAATATTAATAAATAATATAAAAGTATATATATATATATATATATATATATATATATATATACAGAGCATACAGTCAAACCCCCTCAAATTCTTTGAATACTTAGGATCATGTGATATTTCAGTTTTTCTTTTTTAATAAATCTGCAAAAATGTCAACAATTCTGTGTTTTTCTGTCAATATGGGGTGCTGTGTGTACATTAATGAGGAAAAAAAATTAACTTAAATGATTTTAGCAAATGGCTGCAATATAACAAAGAGTGAAAAATTTAAGGGGGTCCGAATACTTTCCGTACCCACTGTATATAGTACTAAAATAAAATGAAAATACTCCCTCATTTTGTTCCAAACCTGTTTGGATCTAAATAGGACTAAATGCTCCATAAAAGGATTATAACAGTAGTTCACATAACTCTATATATACACACTATATTCCAGTCATACAATAAGTCTGTGCAAAAAACAGACCGATATTTAAATTCCCCATTATCATATATTTAAATATGTTACTCTGAAGATGCATTATGAAGATTTGATTATTTGATTAATGGATTATTGCCAACCGGAGCAGCTCTACTAATCTATTTCTGTCATCCATGGAAAAATGGGGTGCATACGGGTTTGGTGAGTAAATAATGACAGAATAATCATTTCTAGGTGAGAAAAGCTGACTTGGGAAAGTGTTTCTGTAATGACTCTTAGTATGGAAACACGTCTTTTAGAAGTGGGTTTGAAATCGTTTTCTTGAGAAGAATTCATTCCGATCCTCTGAGGTTTGATTTGCGGGAATGATCAAAGTTGTGAACGTTGTAACCAAAGTCTCAGTTATCAGACTGTAGATGTTTCTAGCATCCAAAATCCCCTTCAGCTAGTTCCATTTGCTCCATTTCATCAACTTTCCAAAACTATTTGGAGAAATCAAAGTGACTGAGGACATTTGAGAAGCTTAAGTTGAAGCATTAAATTTGCTAAAATAAAAACTACAACTAAAACGATACAAACACACATATAAATGTGACCCTGGAGCACAAAACCAGTCTTAAGTCGCTGGGGTATATTTGTAGCAATAGCCAAAAAATACACTGTATGAGTCAAAATTATTGATTTTTCTTTTATGCCAAAAATCATTAGGATATTAAGTAAAGATCATGTTCCATGAAGATATTTAGTAAATTTCCTACTGTAAATATATAAAAACTTAATTTTTGATTAGTCATATGCATTGCTAAGAACTTCATTTGGACAACTTTAAAGGCGATTTTCACCATCAGATTCAAAATATTCAAAAAGTTGTATCTCAGCCAAATATTGTCCTATCATAACAAACCATAGATCAATGGAAAGCTTATTTATTCAGCTTTCAGAGTATGGTTTTGTGGTCCAGGGTCACAAATATGAAATTAAAAACCTAAACTAAAATTTGAAATGTTGAAACACTAAAATAAAAAAATCCAACTAAAACCGAAATAAAAAGAAACGCACAAACATAAATATTAATATTTATAAATATTTATAAATAAACAAATACAAATAAAAGAAGCTAAAATATAAAATATTAAACTATAATATAATAAAAAATATAATCAGTTTCCAAACAGCATTTTATTGTCCAAACTTCCCTAAAAATCTGCACACACTTTTGGTCAAGCCAGAAACCTCCACAAACAAGAGTTACAAATGCACATTTATGCGTTTCCTCAAATCTGCACTCAGCAGAGCTCATCCAAACACGTCGGCACACACAAAAACACGGACACATCGGGCCCATGAGAGCAGCTGCTTCTGATTTTCATGGTATGAAAAGAGAAGTAGCAAAGAAAGAGAGAGAAAGAGAGCTCTTGAATGACTTAATAACGGTTTCCGCTGACCATAATCCCGCTGCTATTTCTGGCCGCTAGATCAGAGAGAAGCACGCGGCAGGAAACATACAGTCCAGCCCGGTTCTGTCCTTTCATCACTACATCCAGCCATTCAGCTCAATGCCAACATTTATCACTCAGGGCTTGTCAAGTTTGTCTGATGTTTCTTAGAAAATGCAATTATTGTAAGATTTTTAAATGCAAACTTCGGTGTTTTAGGAAGTCTACATTTTGATCAGTAAACAGCTCCACCATCCAGACCAGCACTAACTAACATCATTTTGGTTTCAAACCAATTTGTCTCATTTAATCACCTTATTTCCATGAATAAAATAAAACAGCACTAGATTTGGTTGCGCTTTGAATGAGGGATTTTCACACAAGCCTGCTTCCTGTCAAACACGTCTCACTTCCTCTTTTCTGCGTTCTGCTTCCTCCTCGTTACGCATTTGCAAGGTGTTCTTTCTATGATTCTCTCTCTCACACACCTTTCTCCCATCTGCACCCATGAAGGGGAAGAGAAACTAAGAGGATCTCAGTGTTTCGGAGCGAGAGGTCGGTGTTTTCAGATTGGGAAATGTTTTAAACCACGCATGAAATGCAGAAGTGCTGCTGGGGCCAAACTTAGAGCTGTGATCGGTTGATTTCTCAGAAGATGGCTCTGAACATATACACTACTGTTCAAAAGATTGAAAGAAATTCATATTTATATTCAGCAAGGATGCATTAAATTAAAAAAGTGACAGTAAAGACGTTTAAATGTTCCAAAATATTTCTATTTAAAAAAAAAGAAGTTTGATGAAGTTTTCAGTTGTGTTGCTTCATATTTTTATATTATTAGAATATTATTATTTTTATATTATATTAGAATGATCACATGCAGGATCATGTGACACCAAAGACTGGAGTATTGATGCTGAAAATTCAGCTTTGCACCACAGGGATACATTACATTTGAACATATATTCAAATATATAACAGTTATTTTAAATTGCAATAATATTTACTATTTTTCCTGTGTTTTTGTTCAAACAAACACACCCTTGGTCAGCAGAAGAGACTTCTTTCAGAAAAATTATTTCAGCAACCCTGTTTTATCATTTAAATTATAATTTGGGGAAACTCAAAACTACTGCACTCCATCTAACCATCTACTGCACTCCATCCGTTTTCAATGCAAAAACACATTGTGTGTGAATGCCACTTATTCATAACTGACGGCGTAATCGAATTACTCAAAATATTTAATAAATGAATATGCTTCACACAAAGTATCACACGTTTGATTGCCATAAATCTGCAGGAAGATTGCATATGCTCAAAAGAAACAAGGAAAGAGCAAAGAAACATTTGTGGCCCCCACAAGGCTTTTGAGGATTGTAAACTTTCCCTTCCACTGCATGTGTGTGTGTGTGTATGTGTGGCAGCACGCTCTGGCATGCTTGTCTAAGCTTCAATCAAAGGAGGCCTTGTTCGCTGTATTTGTTATGAATTTAAATTATAATTTGGGGAAACTCAAAACTACTGCACTCCATCTAACTGTTTTCAATGCAAAAACACATTGTGTGTGAATGCCACTTATTCATAACTGACGGCGTAATCGAATTACTCAAAATATTTAATAAATGAATATGCTTCACACAAAGTATCACACGTTTGATTGCCATAAATCTGCAGGAAGATTGCATATGCTCAAAAGAAACAAGGAAAGAGCAAAGAAACATTTGTGGCCCCCACAAGGCTTTTGAGGATTGTAAACTTTCCCTTCCACTGCATGTGTGTGTGTGTGTATGTGTGGCAGCACGCTCTGGCATGCTTGTCTAAGCTTCAATCAAAGGAGGCCTTGTTCGCTGTATTTGTTATGTCTGAACGTCTGATGTGTGATGTGTCCCCGCTTCCCCCCCCGTCACCTGCCAGGAACAAGCAGAACCAAAAACAACGTGCCGCACACACACACACACACACACACACACACACACACACACACACTTCCTTT